GTGTCAGTTGCGCTACAAGAAAGTGTAGTCCTACAAGGTTAAAAAAATCTCCATCAGATGAACTCTACACTCTGTACATTTTGGTCAAAGTGCAATTCTTGAGACGCTTGAAATAACGTAACCATTTTGTGTTCAAAGAGAGAGTGTGGAAGACTACGTCTTGATATAAATTGAGCGTTGTTCGTTTATACATGGCTTCGAATGAAAGGTGAATGACATTTCGTTTGACATGAGCGACATTCTCATAAACTGATCATCGGAATAAGAAAATGCCGGAAAATTGAAATGCTCATTGGACAATGACCTCAAGCAATTTTTACCTGAATGTGTGGCTTTGCTATACGTGATTCTGTCGAGAAACTGATTTTCTTCTCTGATGCTAAGTGTCATTTAATTCAAAGTGATTAAGGAACTTCAACGATTACAGGAACGTGTAACTTTCCTACGCAACATCCCTCGTCCAGCAAAAGATATCCGGAATCGAAGACACTTCTGTTACTTCAGCATTTTTGGCGTTTGCAACCTACAGGTTACAGATTTACATGCGGAGGTAGCACTCCTCACCCAAGAGTGTCCGACTACAAGAGCAAACCTTCGAGATGTGTAGCTCAAGCATCCAAGTCACGACTTTTTCCCCGGAAACAAAATGATTTTGCGCTGTTCTTGGAATCAACTTCAATAGATTCCATTAAAATACTGAAAGGTACTGCGCTGGTAACTTCATGTATATAATGTTTATGCAAAACTTATCCAAAGAAGAACTGAGAGTCCATTATGCTTTGCTAAAGAAACCTTGTTCGAACAACAGTACTTCACTTAAGTTTTCACACGACATATTACATAGTTGATGCATCGTTATACTTTCTTGTTGCCACAATTTGCTGTATGAGGATACCAGAAAGCGTTGACTTCAGATATTTCATTGTTGGGGGCACTAGAACTTGATTAGGTTGGCCACATTGATATGATGCTAGCAGGATGGTCATGTCAGGATCACACACGTGCAGGTAATGGAGCAGGGTTGCAAGATCCTAGATCTCGTATGTTTTGGGAGATGTTACGTGTGTTACGCTATCTCCAAGTGTATTAGGTACGTCCCCCAGCGTACATTCTAGAGAACGTGCCATAGTTGGGTGACACTCGGACATAGTTGATGGCAAGTGTGGATGAAATATTGTGAGATCGGATGTTACACATGTGTACTAAGTTGTAGAAATAGCCAAGTGATTAATGATGGTTAGCCAAGACGTATCTAAGTCTAGCTAGTTATGACTAAACTAATTAGTTACAACTAAATTTAGCTATAATGTCCATAGTTAGCAGAATAATTAACAGAGTTCTAGAAGAGAGAAGTGAGCACTTCTAATTTGTCTTTTACAAAGGTCTAGATTTCAAGATATTTGATATTTGACTATACGCTTAGATTTGATTGGTTTAACTAAATACATGAAAGATGATTGGCTAAACTAAGTATAATGTTGACATAGTGGCTAGGAAGCTTCTAGAAGTTTTAAAACTTCCAATGGTATATCAACACCTCAACCTCGGATTTCTAAAACTTTTAGAAGGTTCAGGTAGGCCAATGGCATGTTGCCACGTATAGTGGATTAGTCAAATTTACCTAGGCAAAAGTGAATTAAGAAAACTTACGACATATTATTATTGTAATTTCTCAGATAGAGAGGTAGAGTAGCGCCTCTCAAGCAAGTTTGGATAGTTTATGTGTGACAACTTGTTTCATATATGAAATAGTGACAATGTTCATTACCTTGAAGTGTCGATGTGTGTGAGTTTGAGTGATACATTGAAGTATTGTGTGACATAGTGTTTGGACTATGAGTATGAGGATGAATACTAATATTCTAGAACCATGATGAGCTACTGCAAAGCCATCTAAGGTAAACTTGAGTGAGAGTCAACCCGGAGGTTGCAGACCATCGATTCGTAGGTTCCATGTGAGAGACTACGTCTATCTACAGCAGACTCCACCGACAACATTGGATGTGACGGCGGGACGCACTATCTTGCGAGTGCGTGAGGTGTTATGTTCTGGAATTCTCCTGTTAAAGGATCGTGACTGTGTTTTTTGGAAGTATCATGTGCGCAATTGTGCGTCATGTCACCTCCCAAACGTGAATGGGACTATGGACCCAAGCTTAGCGATAATACGTGTTGGCTTGAGGTGCATGTCATGTGGGTCAGTTAGTTATGCGGCCCGTATGTTGGTGTGTGATAGATGTTTTAGGGGATGGCACATGTCGTATCTGACTCCACCTATCGATGTTATTCCGATTGGACGATGAGTTTGTCCTCGATGTACTTCGGAGGGGTAGATAACTTGATCTTCACATGTTATGAATTGTAAATATGCGACTAATGATGGGGCGAAATAGCACCCAGCCTAATGGTTCACGCACCCATGAAGATGTATAGCATGTAGTTATAGATAGAGCTACCTATAAGCTAGAGGGACCTGAACGCCAGCTAGGGGTGCGAGTTGTGGTACATTTGAATATGTACGCTCTCGCGTCTCATATGTGTGTATATGTGTATATGAGTAGCATGTCAGCGATGAAAAGTGTATGACGATTCGGATTCGCACGACACATTCAGCATATCAAGTTTCAACTTGATTTTGAGAAAACGACATTATCTATTTGTGCTCCTAGATGATTTCAAAAATAATACTGTTAGATAAGAAATGATTATATTTTTTTTTATAATGATGAAGAAGTTTTGATATTAGAAGAAGACGAATCTTCTTCATATCATGAGGTTCAAGCTTTGTTGGATGGATTTTATTGAAATGCATCAATGCTAAGAGTGATGCAAAAATTGATTTACAACAAGACTTGAGAGTTGATGAAACTTCCAAATAATCAACAACTAGTGAATTATTTGTGATTCAATAAACTAAAGATTGATCTTACAAAATGATTTCAAAAAATTTACAAATCCAAATTGGTAATCAAAGAATTCATTCAAGGGAAAGATGGAGATTGCAGTGAGATGTATTGTCTATTTGCTATATATATGACTCTTCAATTATTTTTTGTATACTTGTGATTTTGTTTAATATTATTTTCTATTAGATGAATATTTCTTTATTTCATGATATCTTAGATGTGGTTATACTCGTGATACAAATTACGAAATTTGGAAAGAAAAACCAAGAGTAAATGATTTGAAGTTTAGTAAGATACTTTTATGAATCAAAACAAGGCATTACACAATAGAAAAAACAACTTCATAAAATTTCAAGCTTCAAACAAAATGTATTTTTTCATACTTTTGTATGCATGAAAAAGATAATGAAGTTTTGAGCATCATTATCTAAACTCTATATGAATGACATGCTTATAGCAATTGATAAGTTATAAGTCCAATAGAGTATTGGATTTAGACTGAAAGATTTTGTTGTAGAAAGAAGATCTTTGAAATGAAGATCTAAACAAAATTGAAGTATGGAAAGTTATGGATAATCTAACTTAAGTAGACTAGATTGATAGTTGAGATGTTCAACATGAAAAACTACAAGCTTTCTATATCAAATTGTTTCAAAGATGATGTGGAATTGTATTTGATGTCCAAGATACTTTTGAGAAAGCAATAAGTCTCATGTTTTTTATGATTTGCATTGAGCTTGATACTGTTCTAATGCATTGGATTTTAAATGTACTTATGCTAGTTTTAGCAAAGTATATGGTAAATAAATGAAAGATACATGGGAAAGTTATGAAGTGAAATATCAAATATTTCAACATGTTATTGGATGTTGATAGTGTACTCTATGCAAAATTTTACAATGTTAAATCATTGATTGGTTATGTAGATTATAGACAATATCTCGATGTAATAAAATTAACAATAGGATATGTATTCAAATTTGGAGGTGGATATATAAAATAGAGAAGTATATTGCAGAAGAATCTAGTTCATTTTACTATGGAATCTAAATATGAAAATATAGCATAAGAAGGAATTAAATAAATTTGGTTGAACAAGTTTATCATTTACATGAAATGAACACATGATATAGTGAATCTTCATATTGACAATCTAGACCCTTTATATCTAATTGTGAATCAAAAATTGGATAATAGAGTACATCACATTGGTTGCATGTTTTATTTCTCAAACAAGCTACTATTAATAAAGGGAGCGGCTAGTTATCAAGTACCTGGTGACTCAATAGTGGCGACAGTGTGATACTCGCTGCCTTGGGTTCCTATGGAGCAACCCAAGGCACCTCCAGAGGCCGAGTCGCCTCGTAAGATCACGAGGTTTTGTAGTCGGCCGGGGAGATTCGGAGGCGCTCTAGAATTGATCCGGCCTAGACGGAGCCGAGAAAAAGAGTAACAAGCAACACTGATAGCAAAAAGCTCCTGCCGCGGAGCCACAGCCAGCAACTTGCCAATCATGCTCCGTGTATTCTTGTTGGGTGAATGATAATTTGTGATAACTAGTCATTTTATTAAGGACCCAACAAGTCAAAATTGATGGTAAATATAATCTTGTCTTCTTTTCCAACATGATTCTCCTGATAATATTGTAAACTTGTAACATAGTGTATATTTTTCATACTGATACAGACAAAATAGACTAGCAATCATATTATCTTCATATGATTTTTCTCTATTTTATTTTGATTATAGTTCTATGTAGTTGATTTTAAATTACAATTGAACCTATGTTGAAGTTCTTTCTAAGAATTTCTGTGGAATAATAATCTAGTTTATAATATTTATGGTCACCATAAATCAAATAGAAATATTATTACAAGTTAACTCAAATCCTAGTTATTCAAACTAATTTAACTAGTACTAGTACTTTTCTGTAACCCTCCTCGTCTCCTTGCATGCATCCAAGTGGGAAACTCTAGATATTGGACCATATTTTAGTCGTAATTCTTCCCATGAAGATGTGCTTCAAAAGGCGAAAAGTCTAGTGCATCGATTTCTGAGTTTTTGCAAAAACAGAACACAATACAGAGCAAAATCCTCATCAAAATGGTTTACACAGATCACATTAAAATATAGAGGGCAACCGATACAAAGTTAACTTGAAGTGAGGCCATGAACAAATTGATCTATTGCAAGTCCGCTTAATACTGCTACCATGTGATTGGTAAGGCGAGATTGAGAAACAAATCCTTCTCACTTCAAAGCTCAAGCCTACGGAAAGCAAGAACAAAATTTCCTCTTTCTACGTAGAGAGATATACACAATTCTAAAGAAGAACTGACACCAAATGTCCTCGATGTGATGGAACCTTCCATCCCATTCTCATTGGAATCGGTGCAAGCCAGGTTCTTTCCTTGGCCTGGTTAGCTTCTCACTAACACTCAGGAATGATCTGCAGTTCACTCCGGTGGCGAGGTTTATCGGCTTCTCATCAAATCAAGACCCGTATTTCAATTCCTTCTCTGATGAGACTAAAACAGAGGCTTCGAGCCTTGAAGAGCCTTGACTTTCTGTACACAATCCGCTTCAATTAGCTTGCTTTCTTCTTCTAGATGGTTATGGACTAAAACCGTTTAGAAAATCAACTCAAGTACATCAAGAAAGGTTCAGCACCATCAACACGGTGAAAATTCCAGATCTGCTTCTGTTTTATGTTTTTCTCCTGCCCTTACCTTCTGTCGGTTAAGAAAACACATGAATAACAGGAAGATCATACCATGGAATCCGTCGAAACCTCGCCCGAGATCAAAAGATTGCTTGCTTGTAGAGTATTCGTGCCGTTGTGCACACAAGACCTCTACTTCAGCCACTGTGCGAGCCGGCAACAGTAAACAGACCTTGCAGGAGTCGTTGGAGATCATCGGAAGCAATCCTTCCCAACTGTAACATCTCAACGAGGAGGGACTCCTGCAAATCTGCACATGATGCACATCAGAAGTGAGGTTCAGGACTGCGTCGGCAGAGTCTAGATCAATAGATGTGGTCATATGGTCAAATGGGCCGGTGACGCACAATATTCAATTGACAACACTCTGATTTACCTGTAGAAAACTGGAAAAATCGGGCCGTATTACGGGCTGCTGACTTCGCACGAAGTACGTCGGATGACGTTAGTTGTTGAAGTAAGCCCTCCACGATATTTGACGCGCTGGTTTCACTGTTTAGCACAGGAAAAGATCGTCTGTAAAGTAGCTTTTAATTGTGTGGACAGACTCGCATGTCTAATTATGAATATCCTGGTGCCTTCCGGCCTACTAATACACACTACATAAGCTTGTCATTGTTGAAAAACACAGAAAGTTTACAGGACATGTAAAGGAACGGACTCCTCGTGTTCAGCAGTGCATACTTGATACTCAACTGTTGACCAGATTTGGACAAAACACACTTAAAATCCTCTTTTGAATTAGTGGGGTTCCAGAAATGAGCGAGGCTTCTTCGTCACAGTAGGTCAGACAGGAAAATCACCTTGGACCATGGAGCAGTCTACGTTCTAGAAGACCGTAGATACGCTCTCGTAGAGTAGCGTCTTTGATAGTTATCAGCTGTACCAATGAATCTTCCAAATATGACAAAATGCCGGGCACTCGTGCAGATGCTTTGTCAACATCAGTTAGGGTGGCAGATAAACTTCCCTCCTCCCCATCTCCAACCTGCAGTGCAAAAGTAGGGACATTACTGGACAGTAAAATTCAGAATCCATCTCTCTCAAGGACACGAAGTCGGATAATGCAATTTGACAGGACAAGGACATGCTTCTTACCATAAGCTGAGAGACACAATTTGACTTGCCCGTGCTGTAAAAGGCCAATCCCTCTTCGTTCCATGAGTCTTTCGTGTACAACTTAATACATTGCTGCAATTTTTTGCGCACAGTCAAAATTTGATCCAAGGGAATAGGAAGAGTAGACGCTTGAGAATTTCCGCCAGCCGATAAAGAGTACGCTGCTGCCGTTTCCTCAGCAATTGAAAATGAGCCAGGCTTGTCTAGAAGGCTCAATAAATATCCAATCTTTTTTATCTTCCCAAAACTCTGAGCAGTTGTCTCAAGAACAGGTGTCCTGTATGAAGAAACATACTCGCGACTTCTTCCCCCAGCAGCAACACAGTGACACAGGAAGTCTGCGAAACGAGCAACCACTTTCGCAAAATGAGGTCTGTCCTGAACCTCAAGGTCCCGTAGAATCTCGAAATATAAATTGAGGACATCTTCAAGATCGCTTTTGTTCAGAGTAGACGATGATTGCGTTCGATTCTGATCTGACCATCCACTAACTCTCGGAAAAGAAGCGGAAGTGTTGTGAAGAGAGTTGCTTTTGAGTATGACATGAGGTCGAAGGGCATCAAGCAATCCGAGACCCATGGAAAGTGCTCTTGTCACTGTCATCCTTGCTTGAGTCTCCCCTTGCTTCAGCAGTGGCAAAAGCTCCTGTGAAAATCCCAGAGGCGTGATAAATCAAACACTGATATCAAAACGCAGCTTAACAAGGCAATTTTGTCGTCCAGGTCTGTGAACAGATGATTAGGTCTATAACATCTCACAACTTTGCACAGGATCAGATCAAGTGTCCGACAAAAGGATTTAAAAACTCATTCGAGTAGCATATCGAGAGTTGTATAATACAGCATGAGCTAATAATATCACTAACCTTCAACAATATCTTCAAAGTTGGAAGGAAAGGAATCAACAAAAGTGGATGCTGACGCGCGAACTCAGTGCAAAAGCCTGCAACAACGCATTCGCGAACTGCTTGACCATAGCCCAATCATCACAGTACCCCTGTTTTCACCATCAATACCTACAATATACTTCTAACTGGTCGCAATAACTCTCAATTCAGGAAGTTATATATAATCAAGTTGGTACTAACACTATTACCAAAGTTGACCAATACGAAAGTAGCAATAACATGCAGTTTAACCTCCTTACCATAGGCTGCATTGGATTCTTTATCATTTCCAGAACAGAATGACCAAACGGCACTGTGTATTACGCTGTTCAAGGAGCAGGTCTGCAGACGAGAACAACCATATCAGTGGCGCCATCGGTTACAAGCATGGTAAGTCAATCATGCTTTTAATTATGTGGTCGGTTCCAGACTCTCATCCAAAGCCAGGGTAAATCACTGCGCATCTCTACTACGCTTTATAAACTGAGTAAATTTTCCACTATTGAGCTCTGCTCTCCTCCATTCTGTGATTTTCTTAATTTTTTTTCCTCTTTTTTCCTTTTATCCAATTCTTTCTCCATCACAACTGACGATATTTACCGTACAACCCGAAATTGCTGGATAAGTGGTTACCTGTCCATGGTTGTTGTAAATTTCAGCTTGTCCTCGTATATCTTCAATCAACATGCCTTTCTTTGAGATAGAATGTAAAACGGACTTTATGGAGACAGGAAAGATCAGATAAAGACCCCACAAAAGACTCCTTGCAACTGCTTTGTACGTTGACTCAATAGACTGCGATGATGCGTTTTCAACCATCGAGGGCGCTAAACCACTGGGACTTCCATCATCGTAAGAGCATCTAGCATATGCCGGCAAACCACATATGGTCGTCAGCATGCAGTAATGTGAACGTGTGAGCAAAGATGAACGAAAACTTACTATGAGAGCCTTCTTCCATTATTGTATCAACAATCAAGATTTTCCGACCTAGGTACCGCTACCCCAGTGCTCTAACATCTTGTGTAAGACGATGAGTCAATGAGAGCATGCAAACCATTTGAGGATTCGTAGAAATCACTAAAACTTTAGGTCCGAAAGCAGCAAAGATTATACCGCAGCTCATATAATCTCACTAAATTAGAAGTTTATAACTTACAGATGCTGTACAACCGCCCTCATGATGTGAGGACCTTGACAAACTGCTAGCGCCAACACTTTGAGAGTACAACTGACGGGGCAAAGAGTCCTCGTCTCGAGTACTCGTACATATTGTTCGACTGAAACATCAGAGCAGATGGCCCGGGCCTCGGCACCCATATTAGCGAGCTTCGAAGCAACGCACGCCGCAACTGAGTGCTTAGTTATAGTACGTGCGGATGAAGTACTCAGCCAGGACCAGTGCAAGTTTGAACTCGACTTCTGCACAACAACCGTCGGAATTACACACCAGCAGGAGCTTTCACTGCTTGTATCTACTTGAGACTAAAATCCTCTGGTGACAACTCAAAACTTAGCTAGTACCATAACCAAAGTATTGACTGATTCAATAAGCTAGCTCGTCAAAGATACGCTCTTGAGCTTGTACAAAGTATAATTATGTCATGTCAAATCAATATTATTTTATTTTTGAGAAAAGCAGAAACCAAAAGTCAAGCATCAATTGGAACTTACGTGTGGTTCCACTTCTTCACATGCACGACAAGCCAACTTTGCTCTTGGATGTTGCACACACAAGAAAATGAACTCAATCACCGGTTCCATTCCTCGGAAAATTTGGCCAGACTCCATGCTACATGCGCTCGCATTTCCAAAATATTCATCATCCTCCGTGCCTACGCCGCTGTTAACTAGCTGTTTGAATACCTTTGAGAGAGTATCCCAGGAACTATTGTGGACCACATAAGACAGGCCAATAGCTGGGAGGGAAGGGCCATATGGTGCTTTTGATACCGACTGGAGTCCAGAGATGTCGACTATTGCAGCGAGAAAGCCATCTGCATCAAACTCGGGATCCAAGAAACTGAGCATCTCCATGACAAGCCCGCATCGCCCACTGAACTCAATCTGAGCCTTCATATCTGTGGGCGGTGATATCCTAGAAGAGGCTAGCAAAGAACTTGAGTACACCCCATTATGCGATCTCAAGCTGCATAAAAGGCCCCCTATCATTTTTGATAGCGGAGCACAATAATTAACGGGTGAGACTTTTTCTTGTTTGCCATTTTTACGTCGAAGGTCTAAAAGGGACCTGCTATAATATTCGTCAACTGCCTCCCAAACACTCTGCAGCTTTTGGCATAAATAGTATCGAAGGACGGCTTCGAACCTGTCAGAGGATGCCCTTTCTACCACGTCAAAAGGCATACTAACTCCATCAGTTACACAGCTAAGGCGATCGGTTAACGCATTACGGTTTGAGTACGCCCTCATCCTCGAAGGGGCAAGAACAAGTCCTCTTGGAACTGTACGAGAGTTTCTGACAAACTTGCGAGCAAGTATCTCATAAATCTCTACCAGCTTCATCTGTAAGTCCTTCAAGAGCACTGATGCTGCCGTAGCAATCCCTGGGAAGCTCACATTTCTTCTCTCAAGCCCCAAATCTGTTAAACATTCTACTGAAGGTTGTCCTTTCTTACACGTAGCTAATAGCGGCTGACTGATACCATGCGAGCAAGGTGCATGGGATAGGAGAACGAGTATTGGAAGACCATAAGTTAGAAACTTTTGATCAGCAAGACAACCACCATTTGCCTTCTCTAAAAGATCAAATACAATACCCATCACGTTCTTGAGGATTTCCAAAGATCCCTCGACCAACTTTCGTTGTAAATCATGCCGAAGCTCGACAAAAGCTGATAACTTAGTGGAATTCTGCCATCCGATTTGGACGTCTTTCTCCACTGATGTCAGCCACTCGAATACAAATCTTGTGTTCTCCTCAAGCGATGGTTTTGCAAGAGACATCTCCATATCACTTGACTCGGTTAAAGTTGCTTTTTCCTTCATGTGAGCAAAACTCGTTGTCTGCTGCATATGTGCATAACCCACCGTGGAGGTTGCTGACATCTGCTCAAGAATTCTGCAATATGAGGGAGAAGATACTTCATCACAATCTATATCACATCATTGCGAGGAACCAGAGGTAAAAATCATTCAAAATCGCCTGGCTCTTAATGTAAACTAGGCCAACCATAGTTTGGCATAGAATACAGTAAGGAGAAGAAGGAATCTGAACGGATGAAGGTCTTTCGAGGTGATACACATAAATGACGAGGGATTAGGCCTACAAAAAAAACTGATAGAATTTGCATGTCACAGCACGATCCTACCAATAAAGTATTTGTGGAGTAATAACTAGGGCATGTTGTAGAGTTCTCGGTAGCAAGAACATGGGGTAAACACGACATCTAAGGTATGTGCGTTCCTCATGATGTTGGACAGAAAAGTTGGACAATCATACAACAAAAATTAGGAGGTACTTCATTCTAACCTTTGCAGATTATCGCATCCTTTTTTATTAACTTTCCAAAAAGCTCGCACACTGCTAGTCAACCTTTTCAACCGATCCCTGGAGAAGCTTCCAGACCCCAGTATAGACTGCAACCTGCTTCAAAAAATAAAACACAGGAAGGTAAACTTCTCAAGATTTAGTAATCCAAAAACACAAGTACCCGAATGAGGGTAGTGGCTCTCTGTGACTACTTGGTCATATTGCACAGAAAAGAGTGTCCAGTTTCTAGTTGCTTGAAACTACCTGTAATGAGATGTGTACACACGTTTGCTAGATTTACTATTTGAAACATCGTACTGATACTCCTTTTCGCAGTAATAGAAAGGTTTATAATTTGTTCAAGAATATTTCATGTCAATGAAATTTTATGGGACCCTTAAACCCAGCGGAAAAACCTACATCAATCAATTACTCTGTCACTTCTCTATCATATTCATTATATGCCACTTTTGACCTTCAGTTTTCCTGTAATGCCCACGCCTGAATGACTTTCACTTACTCATTTATCCGGCGCTTTCAGACTAAGAAGCGCTTGGTATAGATTGTTGTTTTAACCATGTTCTTGTGAGATATTCATTTTCAATTAGAGTGAAATAATATTCACTAGAGCTGTGAATACGAATGTCACTACGGTCTTTTGACTTTACAAACCAGGGATTAACGTCTTAGGGAACCGTTTGAAAAGATACATGATACTTCCAGGAATCTTTGCATGCAGGTGACGGGATGGAAACAGGAAGAAGTGGCTTTCTACTTCCACTCCAAAGGATGGAAGTAGGAAAAAACTACTTCCTGGTGCAATGAGAACCAGGAAATAGTGGCTCTTTCGCACGTAAAACTTTAGACTATAGCCACAAACCACACGAAAATCTAATGAACACGCAAACATGGCTTACCGAACGTCTTTTGTGGAATTCAGGTCTTGCAACACGGCCGCTATTCCAAATGAAGACAAACCGAAGCCTTCGAAAAGCTCCAACTTTGCTTCCACAGTCAGAACTGACAGACCTGCAAAGCAACTCAAAAGACATATCAGTGGTGTACATGTGCATTTGGGTAGTCTATATATTTCTGCCCTTTTATTGAACTTCTGTGAGAGCTCACTGATGGGCACGCGAAGTGCCCATTAAGAAGCTGTCACTTGCGGAAGCAGAAACTGAAAGATCGTCCGTGCAGAGTCACTGCAATCTGATTTGTAGTATTTGAAAGTTCTCCAAGAGTCTAGTGGCTTAAGTCCAAGCATCAGGAAGAATATGATATGCTCACTTGCCAGTAGTGTTTTCCTACTGAAACTAAGGGTTGGCTCTTCCCACTTCTGGTTTAGTATATGTATAAATGTGGAACCAGTTCCAGGATCTTCTACAGCATATATTCTATTCCAGATCATCAGGCCATATCCTGCAACCAAAAAGTAGAAAACGATGAAATACCTGCTTTTATGAGCATCAAATCATTGGTCCTTATGAGACCTACAGCCTGAGCTTCAGAAAGCAGTGGCTGCTTCCCAATAGTGTCTTCTAGCCATCCGATTGGAACCTCTAAGTCCCATCCCCATTGTTGCCCATCAGTATCACAAGCAGGAAAAAGGGCGGTCAAAAGCTTCTGAAAAGTCCCGCTCTTTCTCTTCTCTTCTGTCTCATGTTGACCCAGCAAAGAAAGAACTTCCAGTGCAGCATCCACGACAATCTGATGAACTTTCACTTGTCGTGAAGTAAGCTCCTTGGCGTGTGCAGCTACTTGAGGTGTAACAAGGGTTACAATAGGTGATCTTATGAACCTCAACTCGTCCCAAGTTAGATCTGTAACAGTCCCTGATTCTAAAGCCTTGCAAAGTGTTCCCAAAACAAGATCCACCGTAGCTGAACGACTGATTGGTCCACTTTCACCCGCAAATTTGGCAGGAATAAAATTCGATGATGAACCCAAAATCAGGCTAGTAGCCAGCATCTTTCTCCGCACAACCAGAGTGGCGATAGTGTATGCTAGTGACGTGCCTGAGAGATGGTTCTTAAGAAACTCTAAGTAAGCCGTAACCTACACACGATGACACAGAAGCAAATTTTTCAATTTATCCTCGCTGACATGCTCCATAATGTACACCTTGTCAAAGCGAAGACGTAGTCTTCCAAAAAGATTATGTCCAGGCATATCAGAATGGAAATCCTTTAAAACCACACAGAACCATGGAAGACGTAGTAAACCTTAAACAGAAAAAAGATCTGACCCCCTCGGATGTACCCATGCTGTTGCGAGAGAAAACACATATTGTTAATGTGTCTCAGAAAAGAGTTCCATTTATACAAAAAATTCATCATGGACGGGCCTTGGTAACTAACCACATGAATAGATGTTTCTTCCTGAATTGCTCTTTGGATGGAAGGTGCGAGAACACTGACAACCCTTGACGCTGTCGGAAGCTTCTCCACAACTTCAAGCCACCCACAGTCGTCGTCTGCGTACTGATACGGCATTGAAGACATACCCTTCTCTGCAGCAGTATCCTCATTGACAGCAACGTAGCTTACACCAGGAGACACTTTCTGCATGACTACAGGTAAGCCAGACAAGCTGGAAGAAGAAGCCTGACCTAGAGGCGCATTCGTAAGGCCAGTTACTTTCTTCGCAGCTCCCGGGACATTATCATTGCTAGAAATGACGACACCCTTGGTTTGGCCTGATCCAGTCATGATGGTTGCGCTCCCTGTAGGATCTGATCGTTTGAGGTCTTGTGGAGAAGAAGGAACTGAGTGTGTAAAATCAGGGGTGCTGGATGACGGTAGGTAAAAGAGGGATTCAAAACAGCGGCGGGCACGACTTCGCACAGCCCCGCTTTTTGAAAAAAGTTTTCTGGAGAGAAAATTTACAACACGCTCAACTTCAATTTCCTTGCTTTGCAATTGTTGAACCATGACCAGATGCAGGTGAGAGCGAAGCTTTCCAATATCCAAGAATAACTTGCGAGTTAATGGATGCTGCCCCTCATGCATAAACAGCAGTTCACACTGACACACGCCAAATCAGCCAAAAGCAATCATTAGCTTTCACTTTTTTTCTTAGTATGTAAAATACGGAATGAGAACAAGTACCCTGAACAGACGCGTTGCAGAAACAGACTTCGAAACGAATGTCATATAGAAAACTTCTCCCGCTGTTAATGAAGGGAACGGTGCAAACAGAAATATACATCAACTCCAAGGAAGGTCCCACCTGCCATACTGGAGGAAGATACGTTATGACATCTGGCTCTGCGATCAATATTTTCTGCAGCCAAGCCCAACTCTGTGCCAGGGTCTGCAGCCCAAAAAATACGTACAAAGGACAGGCAAGAACGAATACATGAGGGACTTTTACATGCAAAAGACTGACTAGATTGATTCGCAAGGTTTAGCGTTTAGGCAAACTATTCGCAAAAGTTTCGATGCACATATTTAAGTCATGTACTCAAGCACTTGCCTGTGACTTCGTGATTTCCGAGAAAAAATCGGGATCGCGCGACTTTCGTAAGATGTGCCCGAGTTGATACATATCATCCACTCGATCTAGCTCATCGACGGCACATTTTGGGGGCCTTCTTACCGGCCCGGTCTGTTCAAGAAACATCACTTTGCCACGCCACTCTCCACCCTGATTACTCAGACGAGCACCTGGTGATGACATTAAGCTCCCTGAACTATTAATCTCTGCCGAGCTAGGATCACTCCGCCTCTTTTCAGCAGTCACATCTAAGAAGGCTGATATAGCTTCCTCAGCTTTGCTATCCCGCTGCTCAGCTTCCAGCTCAAGTTTTCGTGCCTCTGACATACGGACCTGATCATCACTGCAGTATAAAAATATGACTGCTTAACAATAATTCGCTTAGATGAACCGTTCATATGGGTCTACACATGTATCGAACATATGAACTGTCTACGACATGCAATAAACAGCAACGATTTACTTGAAAAATTGAATAAGCTAAAAAAGGACATTGAATTTGACCAAAAAATACTGTGATGTGCGAAAACAGATGCGATCTTCATCAGATATCAACTCACCCATTTGGCAGGAAAGTACGTGTGCATGTCAGTAAAGCTTCCATGAAGTTACGAATTGTCGGTAGATTCTCCCATACGAACCACCCTATCGTACTCGCATTGTAGACGCCGATGATGACGACCACTATACATGCCCGCCAGTACATGTCCTTAACCTGTAACCCCATATCAGAAGGTTAAAAGTTACAGTTACAGATACGATCCCCATCACTACCTCATGGAAAGATGAACTTGACGTAATAATATGTTTCGTTGAAGATATTAATGCAGAGTACCTATGCGCTTACATCAAATGGAAATTTTAACAACCTATGGACGATTTAATTTACTTAATTTTAGCGTCGTACAAAACGTGTTTATGTAGCAGCGTCTTCTACTTACGAGTGAAATCTATTTTGAAAAGGACATCATTGCAAACTTATGACTTCAGCTATTACTATGTAATCTGCATGAGTTTTACGAGAGTAGAACTTCCATACCACAAGTTGTTGTATGGGAGATTGACCTGGTAGATTAAAAGATGCCAGTTTGAAAATAGCTGCTGGAAGCTGAACAAAGACGAGTCAAAAACATTAAAAGTCAAAGAGAATGACTGACGGCCAAAACAGTTGATCCCACACAAGTTGATTCCTACAAGTTCACATGGTGAGGAACTAGGATAAATACGTGAGAAGGATCTTGCACGAACCACAGAAGACAGAGATGCATGCAAACATCACGTCCACATGATCATGAAGCAGTCCAATGCAACTTTCGGTCAAAGCAATAGTACCCAAACTAGATTTGCACCCATTTATTGGGTCAAGGTGCTAGTACTAGGAACAGGAAAGATATTTTGCAGCTGCGATCATTATAAGCTAATGAACTCAAAATATTAAATAGTTTCAGAAACAATGAAAACGCCTAAACTTGAGAAAGTGGCCAAACACACCTGTACACTTGCAGCGGTCAAGGCTCCATCAAAATGCCTTTTTAAAGCTGCTGCTCTCCAGACTAGGCGTTCAATGATTTTAAGCGCTTCACCTTGAGAAAGTGGAAAGTTCTACAACATAATGAAAAATGTCAATATATGTATACCAAACTTCAACTCCCCAACAGCAACCCCCAACCATATTCACTCATATAGACTAATGTACCAACAGTGCGACAATAACTAATTTGCTACTACATACGCTTATATATATCATCTAATCTAGAGTCAATTCTCTGGCAGATTTTTGCAATTGATCTCAAAAATGAAATCAATTCCAAAAATTAGAAATAGAAGAGATTCTCAAGTATTAAGAGAATTGGCATTACTGCAGTTCTCCTGTTGAAAACATTCAGCATGGTCATGATGATGAAATGTTATAATACAACCATCTTATCACCTTGAGGTTGTTGAAAGGTACACTCAACAATGCCATTCTTGGATTGGTAGAAATTCAAATATGTAAGTCAACTTGCTTATTTGTGAATGCAAGAAAAGGTGGGCACATATATTTCCCTTGAAACTTTATGATGAATATCATGACGTGATAGTCATCTCGCCAAGCTACACTTATGTTATACTAGACTAGGTGAGTCTACTCTAGATATTACTTCTCATTCTCATTTCGAGATTGCACATCTATTTGGTAGTCTATCTTGAAGTATGAAACTATTCTTCTCCCACTCAATTGTATTCCTAAAGAACATGTGTCATGGGGCTATTCACATAACAAGATAGTCACATTTTCTACTAGGATTGATAGAGTTACTAAAGAGAAATGTGGTCCAGAAGCGAAGAGCAAAGAGATTCATAGTTTATGCTCATCCAGTAGGAGAGGTCACTTGAGCTTCCAGTGCAAAAGATATATAAGAAGAACTCAGATGCTTCTACAGTTGATCATACACCTGATAAGCACAAAAGAGAGTGGTGAAGAAGAAGGGTACCAACTTAATTGAGGAAGTTTATTCAAAAGAATAATTTTAGCAACATAAGTGTTGAGAGTAAATGTGAGAACGTAAGATATTATGGTTGGTATTTGTACTCTGCCTGTTCGCACTGGCGTTGCTGATGGCAACCTTTTCAGATTGCTAGGGGTGAAGCACAAGAAATATAAAAAATCTCTCAGGTAAAATATCATTGGAGTTGTGGCATAGAAGGCTGGGTAATGAGACTCTTGCAGCAAATGGTGGGAGGATTCACGATACCGAAAGGATCACTTTTGTTTTGTGATGCTTTTGCTCAAGGGAAGTCACACAAGTCATCTTTCTTCAGAAAACCATTGCACAGATGTGAGGAGCTGTTGGATCTCATACATTCAGACATATGTGGTAACATATGCGGTAAGAGACCTCACAAGGTGCACAATATTATGTCACTTTCATAGATAACAAAGAAAGATAAGAGTTTATTTACTTACTGAAAAGAAAAGACAATTTTTTGATAACTTCATATTCTTTGTTACAATAGTAGAAACTCAGATAGGGAAAAATAAGAGGAGCCTTAAATCTGATGGAGGACTTGAGTATAGCAATAACGAGTTTGTTTTGTTGCTTTTCTGAAAGGCAGTGGATAGATTCAGCTGTGACAGCTAGAGACAGTTCCTGACAAAATGGAGTTGCTGAGGACTCTACAAGAGAATGTTGCAACATGCTCAGCTTGAGATGCAGTATTGGGGAGCAGCGATGAAGGTTCCTAACTGTTTCAGAAATCGAAGTCCAACGGCATTGAACAACAGGACACCAGAAGAAGCATGTAGTGGTAAAATACCTTATCATACCATATTAAGGGTGTTCGCTTGTCCAGCCCATGCTCACAATCTAGAAGAGCAAAGAAGCAGACTTGGATTGAAATCTAAGAGGCTTATCTTCATTTAATATGAAGGGGACTGAGTAGGTACTTGCTTTACAACCCAAGAACAAATCATACATTTCGTGCTAGAGATGTGTTGTTTGATAAGGAGAAAACATATACGGGCGAAGCATCACACAAGGAGTAGATGCTACTTCTGTTTCTATACCTATGATTTTACCACAGGCATACGATGTTATTCAAGAGATACTTGATCCTGAAGATGGAGAACAAGTGGTACCTGATGTAGACTTGGAAGAAGCAGTAGATGGACTACCTGAAGCTCAGTTGGAGATTTTCCAATGAATGTTTACATCGGAAGGACAGGGAAGCATGGTCAAGTTCCAGGATCTAGGGATCCTTTGGAAGCAAAAGAAGTTGCTACTAGAAGAAAAACAAGACAGAGATTTCAACTTAAGAGGTTGGGGATTGTGAATATCTCCCTCTTCATTGAGTGGGAATACTGTGAATTATTCTCATATTAAAAAAAAGAGCAGTAACTCAATTAGAGTGGTAGCTCGTTTAAGATAAGAGTAAGATTAGATAATCTTTTGGTTTGTGGTTACCTAATACTCATTAGGTCACCACAAATACAGTATATATGGAATGATCACTAGGTACTGAAAACACTTTTGTTGAAGGTCAAAAGCTGGAAGTGTAATGGGGTATTTTAGTACTCTGGCTGAATTTCGAAAGTATGGAGTATTTATGTAAGTCTGATAGCAAATACTACTTCTCATAGCATGCATGAGAAGATTGAGGTGTAGCTAGTGATGCCTAGTGCAATAGAGTCTTCAGGCACTACTCGAATTCAAGTTTTCATCTAGATTGACTCTACCTATACTCCGGAACTTCAGATATACTATATCTAAAACTTCAGTCACTTACAAAACTCTATTTCAGTGAGAAGCACACACTAATATCCGTATATTTCCCACAATATGCAGGAAGAGGACCACAAACTGTATTTCTACAACTGAAAGTGATTTGTACGTACTCTTCTGCTATTTCAAGCCAAGTGAATCTCGAGTACTTACAGAGATCGCCATCAGTATCAATCGCGCTAGTATCTCCTCTGGAGCAGGCATACACATACTTAAAAGGCGTAAAGAAACCAGATCCGTTTCGCTTACATTATCAGAAGTAGAATAGTAAACCTGAAACATGCAGAGAACTCACAGACGACACCAGATCAGTGTAACAACTCTTTAAAAAGATTCATACATGATGTTATCGAAGAAGTTCTAACCTCCTCATGAAAGACAATATCGTTACGAACCTCGGAAGTCTCCATGAAAAGAAGCTGTCTTACGATACGTGTAAACTGGGCTTCCTCCATTGACGGCAGATAAACTGCCAAAATGTCTGTGCACCAAGCCATGGCCTCTATCTGCTTGAATCAAGAACATAGTCAGCGTCTCATTTGCAAACCAAGCTCAGTCATGATTATAACTTCAAAAGTACATTCCTCTCCAAGCACCAAAGCGTCCCGCAATTCAAACTCGAAGGTTTGCATTTCTGTATGTGTTCATTGAATTGTACAATTTCTCTTAAATAATGCATGTAGAGAAAAATAAATAAGAGAGATGACTTGGCTTTTGGAACTTGTCAAGCTTGTAAAGCAGATGCACCTGGAAATTTGCAGATTCAAGACTAAACTTTTCCAGTTGTAACAGCTTCTCTTTCAATGAGCCAACACCAGGTCCAGGTACAGAACTTGTTGGAGTTGAATATATGGCAGACACGACGTTCTCATCCATCGCATAAGGTAGGACAGCATGAAGCAGCAGCTGGCATGCAAGGTCCACAAGCTAGACAAGGAGAGGAAAATTACAATTGTCAAAATCAACTGCAAAAGACTATCAATTACCCAAGACCAAAACTTCGTCATCAGCCATCAGCGAGCATCACCACATGCAGCTCTTTTGGCGACTCATGTGGAAGCCAACTTACGTTGTCCAGATCTAAGCTCCAATATGTACTGATCCTATACCTCCGATGCAACCTCCAATGCTCTGCGTTGAACTGTCTTCAACAAGAATCGCCAGAAGAGCCACAAATACAGACGCTTGCTCATAATTGTTGATGAACATGTATACACTCGTGACTAGTTTAGCTGTGAGTCCGCATTAGACATAAATCTTACCTGTTTAAGCCACACTTCTTTGAGGGCTTCATGTTGCTCCGCCATAACTGGCCAAGGCTGCATTAAACCATGGCAGAGAGCATGTACATCGAGATCTGAACCTACTTGCTTCATCATCCTGAAATAGTCGAGGCAATTCTGATCAGCCTCTATGTATTTTGTATTCGTATAACACTTGTTGGCCATATCGATGAGAAAAGTTTACATCACGGGTCGACGAACATGAAGATATACAATTCAAAAACTGAGTAGTAACATATTTGTGCCTTTAAATATATAGTTATGTTGTTGATACAAGCAATAACAAACATGTTCAGTCATTTACGGACAGATGCTACTTCACACTACTTCACAAACACTTCTTTACACAATTCAAATGTGTAAAGATTCAGATCAAGCCATCAGTACCTGCGAATGAGGTCTCTAAGCTGAAACCGATACTCCTCATTTGCCGCTAGCTCCTGATACAGAACAACACAAAAATATAAAACTTCACTCTAAGTGTTCTGCTAAGTTCAAAATTCAAGACATTATGAACAACGGACTCTCTCTTCTGTGATACTTTGATAAGTGGTTTGAGTCTCAAGTGATACCTGAAAGATGGAAGCGAGCTCATGTTCTGGAGGAGGAGATTCTGGCATCGCTTTCAACGCCATAACAATGCTCTTGAGATTGTGAGGATTTTTGTTATTGACTTCCGCCGTTACAAAAGTCTGAATAGATCCGTGATCTTAGAATAAGTGCTAACTTCAATTCCATGGACTTCGATAGTACCAGATGTCAAATCTTTCGATCAGGAGGAGAACTTTAACTACAGGTAAAATGACTCACCTCTTACTCATAACAACTTTCACAGAAAAATGATATGGCAAAGTTACTTCGTACAAGCTCGATAAATAAGAACGATATAGAGGCAACAAAAACACGTGAAATCACCTTCAGTGCAAGAGTGGCATATTCTGGCCTTCTCCTCACAAGCTGGGTAACCATATCACCAAAGATATTTCCGTGAAGAGATTTAATCTGCAGTTCGTTTACAGCCAAAACGCGGTCAGCTGTCAGACTTAAGTACTGTCATAGCTTTAAAACAGGGGAAAAACATTTCACCAGCAGCTACTGTTTTCGTGCTTAACTTTTGTGACCTGGCACTTTTTGCAGCTTGGTGGGTTGCAAACACGTACTTTACCTAGTTTTTAAAAGGTTCTCTCTACTTCAGCAAGGGCATTTCGACAAACATGTACAACAATCGTACAAACTAAGAACCAACCTGTCCGGGGGCTTGCATGGATGTGATTCTAAGGGCAAGAAGATTTGCCACCGTCTGGCAATCATTATCACTTGTGCCACGGGTATGCTGCACTATACGATCCAATAATGCTTTTGCTGCCCGCAAATGGACCGTGTTGTTCAAGTATGTTTCAAGCATACTGGAGGCCACAACCCGCACCTCCTCATATCCAGCACCTTGCATCAGCAACCTATCAATATACAGCAAGACTATATAAATGACAGCAAGTTCAAAGCTAATGATGGCTTGAAAACCTAAGACCCAAAATAGGCCTATATCCTACCTACGCCATATTAGAAAAGGCAAATAATATTCAATCATGGGAGATATATTTCCAGATATTTCTTCACTTTGCGACATAATAAACACTATGGTGCAATTTGCAGTTAAATAGTGGTGATAAACAAATACTGGTGTAAACAAAGACTTTTACTTCGAAAGCTTTAAACATCCGACTTGTCCTCTCGCCTTTTACAAAATTCTAGAGTCCAAAAATGACCCACCAATGAACGTGACGTGACGAGCTTAGAAGTTAAGGAAACAAGAGTAACACCCTTTCTTACTTCAGCAGCTGACGAGGATTGTCCTTCGTAGACGCTGAGCCCAGCAGTTGATTCAATGCCTGCAAAAATTCTGTTCGCACCTGTGCCCGTATTTCCTCCAAAGGATATCTACTTTTGTATGGCATCTGCTCATCATAGAATATCATCCAAAGTAGTTCTTTAATGTACTGAAGTCAGGTGAACACGTTATTTTAGAATGGCCCTCCAAGAACGGAAAACGAGTAGTCGGAGCAGAATATAGAAAAATGGGACATAATGGCTAGGCTAAATCTACAACTAAATGTTCTTCAAATGAGCACCATAAAGCAGAGACTAAACTGGAATGTGTCGCAAGGTCTATATTTGAATTGTGACTCACCGTTCCTTGAACTGACGGCTCTGATTTGACGGCCTGCCCTTGAGCCATCTCCCCTGAGCCCCTGAAAACAATCAGATAAACTCAACTTACAATTCCTCTCAGTGCAAGACAAAAGAACCAAGTAAAAAACAATTTGCTACATGAGATGAGAGAAAGTAACGTCACTTCAAATACCCTTGAGAATCTTGTAATCTTGTGGAAGTTAAGTCCTCAGGGCTAGCAGACGACTCCTGAGTCACATCACAATCGAGCTGATAACATAAGATTGAAAACCAACGAACAAGTCAAGATATGAGCCGAAGAAACTATTCCATTTGATAACAATTCTTCGGCAGAAGTCACAGGTAGTAGATACAGAATCCAAGATATCTAATGATGCACATCTCAAGAAAGGTCTATTGAACAACCCGATGCGTACTTTTCGTATCGAGGATGCACTAACTGAACCCAATCCACATAACTTCATTACGGGTAACCTTACAATCATATCTTCAAATCAGGCACCATAAAATGGATATCATTCAGCATATAGAAGCTTTACCGCATCCGCATCAGGAAAAGCTGTCAAAATATTTGCAACGAATTCCTTGCATCCTTCATGCTCGATCCAGGACCTCGATCCAGTCGCATCTTCTAGATATATCTGCATATGTTTCCAGTCAGGCAGTTGCTGTACAAGGCAGATATAATAACAGAGAAGTCTAGCAAAGGAGCATCACACATGATTCACTAGGGCAAATCATGCTGCTCACAGAGCTACAATCATATTCTCTATGGAGATCGAAGAAGACCAATCAATCCTCCGGCCCACTAGATATTTGATCTACATCTAACTAAGTGAGCCAAATCGTTTGGGGAATGGAATGGTTCCATTTCCCAAACCACTTGCCACTACCGCTGAACGCGACTACAATTCATGAGTATAATAAAAGACAAACGTTCAGCGTCAAAGTTGACATAGAATATCTAAAACAGTACTTACTTGAACGAATTTCAAAGGCCATTGTGCTTCGTATGCGAAAGCTCGATTGAGAAGTTTGCAAGCAAGAACTGGTAGCATGATTTGTCGCTTAGCGGCTGATTGGATCCCATTTGGACTTTTAAGCATTCCAAGTAAAACCTGCTTTGAAAAATCCATGAATAAGCAAAAGAGGCATCTCCTTCCAGTACTAGTTATTCCCATTTCTCTCCTTTTCTTCAATCAAGTCCTCTATATTTCAGCCTGAAAAGATCACTTCACCAACTTATCCCCAGTAGTATATCACTTTTAGCAAGTTAAACGCGGCTTCTGAGAAACTGACTCATAATGTTTATGGACAAAGCGAAGGATCTGTGTAGACACAACTGAAGTATATGCATGAGTAATCGTAGGGAGGACAAAGGAGGATTAAAAACAACTGTTATATTTTAAAGGCCCATGAGAAGTACAATTGTATATTACAGGAAACGACTGCATAACGAATACATTATTTGTATTGTACTATATAATCACAACACGGGCTAGAACTCCTGACATAACAATATCTATTTGTTTAGAAATCATAAGAACGTTAAGCTGTGCAACATCAAGATTGAAAACATTACTCATTTGTGCGTATACTATGGTTCCAATTGTCTTCATAAGTAACATATGCTTTCCTTCTTCTAAGTTCTTGTCGCATCGATGATGATGAGGATTTTCAAGGAACTTCCTGAAAACTTAGGCCTCTTTATTTTGTCCTCTGCCTTCAATCTACTTCATCATCAGCTAACAATCCACTTCAATGACAGAAATGTAACTTACGGATTATGGACTTATGGATAATTGAAGTACTTATTAATTGCTTATAATATAAACTTGCTTGAGAATATAAACTTGTAATTTAAGTATCGCGTATGATGATTAAGGAACCTTCAAAAACCGCTAGCTGGTGAGGATGAAGGCAGCCTTAACACGTTCATTGTATAATGGCCAGTAAGCAAGAAGTAACTCAATTTCTATGATATGGAGAGCCAGTACTAGAATGTTTCATAGCATATATATCATTGAATATCGAAGTGGCTCAAAAAGCAAGCCGAATAGTTGCATAATCAAACATGTGATTGGCTGCAAGAACAATTTAGCGACTAACCTTCAAAGTCTTTGGGAGCGAAAATGCTTCGGGGAGCTTTTTTGATATGTACAAACAGCTCAAGTAATGATACCGACTGGGACTAAAGGGATTCTTTGCCAGCTCTTCACATGCTTCCACGAGCACATTGTCCATAGACTCCACATCATTCTGCTGATGTGAATTCCAGATAGACCGTAGAATATCCAAATCTGAACAAGAGGACCAACCACTCACGATATGAAGATAGGAAGAATGTAGCAGACTATTACTCTAATGAACACAAAATAACAAATCCTTCTCATCTCATCTACCTCAAGGAGATAATGAAAAGATTTGAACCTAAAGCTACCCTCCTTACTTATATTGTGACAAGTTGTTTCATAATGGTATATAAAAGATAGATTGAAGAAAAGTATTCACACATTCATCATTCAACGATATGTAGATCAATTGAAATCCAAACGTTGAACAGTAAGCATGTGATGCTCATACCATCATCGATGCCAAGAACTGATACCTGCAATTCTGGTCAAGGATACCAAGATCACAGTTTGACATGTAGGCAAAAATTTCTTCTCTACTCGATCCTCTAAAGTGTATTACATGTTCTTATTGAAACAAAAATTACAGGAACTAAGCTGTGCATCATATATGAGCTGGATGAAGAGAGGGATCTCATGTGAGAAAAACTGTGTAGGTTTTTCGTTGTAATACGTTACGTCAATAAGCAGATTGCATCTCTTCGAACTCAAAACAGCAATCAAGGTGAACACTAACATTTGCATTCGTTCCAGGGTTTAGGGTGGCACGTCTCACTCTGCTAGTATCCTAAGAAATCTAATAACAGATAATAACAAAGGATACGGAATCAACGCTGCGCTGGATGACTGCTGAAGCAGGACCGGATGCTTTGGTTGAAGGTATAACAAGAGGTTTCAATTCAGGCTCATCATCTGAATCTTTGACAATTTCCCTTGCATCCTCCGCCTCTCTTTCATGATAACTATCTTCGGGTTCGTCAGATTGAAGGGGAGAATCCGATTTCTCCGGCTTGACTGCAGGTTCTTGCTCCTCAGTCTTAACCGGGACTTGAGATGGTGCAATAATCTCGGCCAGTGACAATTTTGATTCCTCTGTGTTGTCTTTTCCTTCTTCTATTTCCTCTTGAATGGGCAACCATGCTCCATCATCTTCTTCATTTGCCGGTAACCAGCCACTCTGTCCACGAGGACTTTCCTCTTCAACAGGCGCATTGAGATCAAAGCCACGAGGAGTTGCATTTAAGTCAAGAAAACCCCCGGGCTCTTCTTCGTCCTCTCTAGCCCGAGACTCATATATTCGACGTGACTTGGCTCTGAGTTCATCACTATCTTGAGTTGCATCTGACGGCAGATGCCTCTGTCAACACAACGTTGAATCTCAAATAAGTATGAAGTGCATGTGTAACTGCTCTCTAGATACAAATAGATCTCTTTGTCATTCTTCGGTAAAATGGATTTAACTCATTAGTAGATCAATGTATCTAGAACCATGTCATTCATAAACTGTCAAAAACTATAAGCACTTTCTTTAGCAAATCATGGCTGTAAACTACTCTTATATTACTAAACAAATGTATAACAGCAAGTTGTATCTTTCACAAACACTGTTATAAATACTACTTTTTCTCTAAATTTGCATACCTTCATAGGTGGTTGAGGATCCTGAGTTGACTCTCAACCACTTCAATAATGATGATCCCCTCGTCCACAATATCTCTTTCATATGTTTACAGCTCGACCAGAAATTGTTGCACAACCGGAGCACCGCACTATTGTATGGTCATGTCTTCATCAATTTCAAGTAAAGTACTTCCGTCCTTCCATCAAATTTCAGCTTTCAGCTGATATAAGAGCCACTCTCTACAGACACTTATACTTCTAGGTTCTAGCTTGATCACCATGAAAAATCCTGTAAAGATCAACAGCACAAACAAGTGCAACTGGAAATACTAGACTTTCCTAAACTCTACGTTCCTGGTTATACTTGCACCTCCAGTGCATCCGAACTACTTCAAAATTGAATCCGCGAGGTTTTCAGATGAAGATGAAAACGCTGTCACATACATTGAGAAAGCAAAAAAAGATATCAATAATTTCTGCTTCGCATCTACTTTTTACTATCATCAAAATCTCTCAGCCCGAAATTCCAAACCACATATTCATCATACATTTTGTATACAAAATTCTCAAAAAATTTCATCGTACAAGTAAGGTGAGACCTTCCTTCCGAACCTACTCATAGTTTGGTAACGCCAAATTATCAAAAAAACCATTACCCGTGTCATATTTGTGGCATCTTGCCAGTGACCCTTCCAAGGTAAACTTTCACGACAGAGATGCGATCAACGACAGAAACTTATGTCAAAATTTAATTACCAACAAAACCATGTCCTGCTATCCGCACATCAATTTCAACGCAACAATTTATATTCACCTGATTACTGTCACCTGGTTTCTGTCAGCAGAACAGATGCTACCAAAGGCTATTCATCTCCACACTCACTGTGAGGTTTCGCTGAGCACAAAATGAATAAAAAAAACCCTAAGCTTTTCCGCAATTATGGTGAAAATTTCACTACAGAGATGCAATCAACGACAGAAACTTACTTGTGAAAATACTAACACCGCCAGCATCCGGCGTAGTCGGGCACATTATCAATCCACACGCCACACTGCTGCTAATACTTGCGAACTCGCCCGAGCTCCTGATCGCCAACTTCCGCCTGTCTCCACATTCCGCTCCGCCGAGCTTCGACTCCACTTCGGCCCCTCGGAACGTCTTCGGCCGACGACTGCTACTGCACGGCCTCGGCTGTAACTCAGCAGGGCATGCCAATGCGGGTGGCGAATGAAAAGCTCGTGCGGACCGGGGACCGCACCAAAACCTGCGCCCAGAATCGATTCAGAGACCGACGACATGGACACCTGGCGACGCTCGAGTGAGGAACCGATGCGCAAGACACAGAGCCCTCGATCCGCCTCGTCGGCGGCGTCCGAATGCAATGGCTGCGTTCGGCGGCAGCGCAGTTGCGGACGGAGACGGCAGGTGCCACCTGCTGCTCATTCCGGCCAAGGCTTTCCCGGCACCTCGCTGTTCAAGGGCAATACGTTAGATGGAATTCGTTTGGAATTCATTTTGAACTCGAAGGAGAGAAAATTGGTAGGTAAAAGGCTGATTGTTTCTCCCTAGGAGTTTAGTTAAGGACTCATTCTTCCTCGTTTGGAATGTGCAAACGATTATAATTAGTCGACAGTAACTCTTCAAAATTCCTCCCTAAAAGGGAGTCGATGGACTGTGTAAGTTCAGTTAGATACTATACTAATGAATAGTCACCACTTTCGAAGTCTATAAAAATGTCTCAAGTACCAAGAGGAAAAACTCTATTTTGTTGGAAAAGCTTCAACATTCAACCCCACACATGACTGATTGGATAACTTGTCATATTGGGACAGACACATGGGAAAAATTGAACCTTCAGAAGACATTGAAGTATGTCCCGATACGGTGTAGTAGTTTCTCTATAAGAACATTTCTCTCTTATCCAAATCCTTAGTTCATAATTCTAGTAAAAGAAGGCAACATGTCAAATATTGAGGGACGGCTGCGTCAACAAATGGTAAGGTGAGTACTTCTAATTATTCCATGCCTCCTGTTTCCTTGTTATAGTGGTTGTGTCGTGTACTGTTTTGGTTTTTTTACTATTTCATTGGACCTCTTTGTTCTTGTATTTCATGCGGATTTACTCCCCGCCATCTTTCAAACAGTTTAAATTTGGAAGAGGTCAAATCCAGTACGGTCTCTACTGAGACTACGTCACACTTAATCTACGTAATGGAATCACATAACTTTCTACATACCTGCTGCCCTGATCCCTTGCCACAAGGATGAATATATTAGGGACTAGAATGCGAGGGAATCCTGTTAAGAGATAGTCCCACGTCACTGGTGATATGGCTATGGATTTTTCTATGGCTGTTAATACTCAGGAGACATGTCACTCGTTACACATATTGTATGGAATGGAACGGGGCCCAAGTGGATAAATTAAGGATGGCCAGACCCCATCAAGCCTAAAAAGATGACACCTAACTAGCAGCGGATAGCTAGTCCCTTATAGTAACTTATTAAAAACAATCCCTAAATGTATAATATCCAAAATTGTCTAGATCACACTTTCTACAAGCGTAAGTATTGTTGCATCACCTAACATTAATAAATTACATACATAGAATGTGAAGAAATATATATGTAAAAGGTTCTAAGTGTTAAGCAAAACTGATGGGAAACTCCCATCCAATAACAATAGTATGTTTTTATAGCTTTTAGTCTACTTTCTTAAATATCATTACATCTATATAAAGTTCCGATAGCATGTTCTCTCCCGAAAGGTTTTACATTAAGTGGTTGAATCATTTGTGAGAAAGAACAATGAATTGTCAATTATTATGATTTTATATATCGATTGAGTTCTTTTCATGAACAAAGACCATAAGATGTTAGATGCCTTGTTATGGAGATTCAATCTTCCAATTTAATGAATTAATCATGACATGGTATGAGATCTAGCACAATATATTGCTTCATTCATAAAAGATATACAATAACACTTTGTGATAATCAAATCATAGAAAAATGCATATTTGAGTCAAATATATTTTACAATTTTCAACATTTTCTGCAAACTTGAATTTCAACTTTCAAAGCTCCATCTGAACTTAGCCTAGATAAATTTTTAAATTGCAATTCAAACTGATTTCATTGATCTTGAATGCACATATGATGTAAACTGTATCTGAATATATTGCATATTCTAAATGATGTATTTATTCACATACTCATATCAAATAAAAAATTTCATCACTCAGACTAGTGATGAATTATTTGCACATGTAGAACAATACAAATGATATATCACTCAAACATGGTTTGTACTTAATCTTATATCCAATATAATACATTGATATCGTTCGCACGAGAATTGATCAAATAATGTTGAAATACACAATGACAAGCAATTCTAACAGATTCGGCATAAAACATACTGTGCCTACGAGACTAGTCTACATGAAAACATTTTTTAAAGATAAAATTTAATTATCACAATGATTATTATGAAGTAGAAGTAACGAAGCGCGATATTATTATACAATTCTTTTTCATTTTATAATACTTATAAAAATTATATAAGCTTGTAAACTAATTGAAGACAACACCTCTAAATGTCCCCAAAAAACAAATAGCTTTTCATATGAAATCATTGAAAAAATAAAATATAAACAAAATTTTCTAAATGAAACTTGAAATCCATTTTTATCAAGTGAAACTGCATTTTTTGAAACTCATTCCTTATAACTCAATTTTTTCATAAAATATTTTTTTAGATAAAAATATTATAGTATTAAAAAAATTTATAATTTAAAATATTCATGTAACAAAAAAATAGATATTCAACAAAATTCAAAAAAATCCAAAAACACACAAAAACAATTCAAACACATTTCATAAAAAAAATTTATCACACATGTCTACAAATAATTCTATCTTGGTAGAGTAAGCTTTAAATTTGTAGCTACATATTTAGATGATTAAACTTAACATTTGAAATTTCAAGCTCATGTAATTTTCATTAAACCTCAAGAATATATATTATATCCTATAAATATTTGATATTATGATATATCATGTATTGTGCAAATTTGTGAACTAGTTTTTCAAATCATCAAACGAGATTTGTTGCAAATTTTTCGATGCAAATACAAGATCATACACTTCAAATATTGTTGATATCAATAAAAAATGACAATTATCACAATGTAATGCAAATTCTTTTGCAAATATAATGCAAATATAAAGAATATTCTTTTGCAAATGTAATGCAAATATTTTCAACTTCATATTGATATGAAGTTAAAAATATTGTTTTGTTGAGATTAGCTCATGCTTAAGAGTAAACTCGAGCTAGCTAAGTTAGGTAGCTCACCGTCTGTATTATTTATTTAGCCCAAGGGCTTCTTGAATGTAACACATACAAGTGTGATACCCTGGTCGTAGCCCCTTGGATGAACCACGTTACATATGATGTTTACTATGGATTTATTTTACTGTCACTTGATTTTCAAGTTTATTGATTCTTGGTTTATCATTCATATATTTGTAATAAAAGTATGCTTTGACTCTTAACACACCAAAAATTTATGATTTCAAACCATGAATTCATTATATTTGGACTTTATGATTCATGACTCTTATTTGATTTACACCAATGGATGTAAATTAAATGATTATGTAAATTAAGTTTAGATATTATGAATATTTACTTGTTGTTCCTTAAGAGAATAGAAACAAACTATCCATGATTTTATTAGAGGTCTAGCTATTGCTATTGAGTTAAGTATATCTAACGGAGAGAGTATAAGCATGATCTACAATAAACTAGAGTTAGACCATACCTATGATTGATATAAGACTAGAAGATATTTGACTCAAACTGATTCTATAAGTGACTTAGTTTCAAAAGTGCAATATTAGTATTGAGGTAAATGTAACATACTTTAAAAATTGTCTTCAATTGTAAGGTTTTCTAGAGAGTAAATTTTTTGGATACTTTACATTGGATTTGTAAACAACATTGAAAGTTTACTTTGACATGTTAAGAGGAAAGTGAGTTGATAGTTACCACGTTAAGTCAATTGATATTTTGTATATATGATTGTGTAATCTAGTCAACATAACTTGCTTAGAATGGTTACAGAGAGCATTTGCAAAAGGTAAGTTCAGGAAGTATATATCCATAGTAAATGAATATGGTAAGGTTTTGATTTGTCAGATTCTCATGCTACATGCAATAGAAGCTTACATATAAAGCATAAAACATTAGATGGTGTATTATCTAACAAGAGTTATGGAGTATGACCAGGCATGGTTATTTTAGGCTACCGTGTACTGAGGCGACTATATTACCTAAGTTGACACTCCCTTTAGCGACTAAATCAACCGTAGCATCTAGACTCTAATTGGGTTACAATTGAAGCTTGAGAGATCTCAGCCATTCAGGTTGTTATGATTGTGGATCAGTTTGTTAACACGTTAGTCTCAGGTAGGTAGTAATTCAGACTATGTAAATTAAATTTTCTCTCACAGGCCGATTGCATGCATGACTCTCTCTCCCTCCGAACCACTCTCTTGCTCTCAAGGGCTTTTAGCACAAAAGTTATAAAATTAATATAAATTAACTTCCTTTATGTAACTAAATTAACGGTGTTTTTAGGTAATATAAGCAACAGCAGGTAGACTTAATGGTGCTGAAATTGCTCGTAACTAATATAACCATACTTCTCAAAGGAATGCTATTGAGAGCTAGTCCATCTTAACTTCTTGCTTTCTTGAGGTTTGGTGCGTTCTGTCCATCGATTTTGCTACATTACGCGGTCTCCCATGATCTTGTCCGGTGTCTGTAATGGCTGCAAGAGATTACAACCGGATGGAATCAGCGCTGGAACTGGCTGTTGGCCGGCACTGGAGGTCACGAGTGCGCGGACGTGCGCAACTGCCCAATGCATTCTGTACGCACTCCCTTGGGCTCTTGGGCCCGGCGAGGTGCCGGGAAAGCCATAGCCGGAATGAGCAGCAGGTGGCACCTGCCGTCTCCGTCCGCAACTGCGCTGCCGCCGAACGCAGCCATTGCATTCGGACGCCGCCGACGAGGCGGGTCGAGGGCTCTGTGTCTTGCGCATCGGTTCCTCACTCGAGCGTCGCCAGACGTCCATGTCGTCGGTCTCTGAATCGATTCTGGGCGCAGGTTTTGGTGCGGTCCGCCACTCCGCACGAGCTCTTCATTCGCCACCCGCATTGGCATGCCCTGCTGAGTTACAGCCGAGGCCGCGCAGTAGCAGTCGTCGGCCGAAGACGTTCCGAGGGGCCGAAGTGGAGCCGAAGCTCGGCGGAGCAGAATGTGGAGACAGGTGGAAGTTGGCGATCAGGAGCTCGGGCGAGTGTGCAAGTAATAGCAGCCGTGTGGCGTGTGGATTGAAGATGTGCCCGACTGCTCCGGATGCTGGCGGTGTTTGTATTCACGCTGCTGCTTCCAGGGTGACGGCAAATTCTTTAGCTCGAATCGTGGGAGAAGGGAATTCAGGTGTCAATTCGGAAGCGGAAGAGAAGCGGACCAATGCAGTAGATTGTTCATTCGAAGAGATTTCAGAATTGGATGTGAGCCGTGGGAGGAATGTGGAGGATTCTAGGGCAGAGGCCGCAGACCCAACTTTTTCAGATGAGGAGGGTCTAGCGATGGGTTCATTACAGGGTTTTGGGTTAGATGATGTTAATTCTCCTCGTGGTAGTGACGAGGAGTGTTCTAGTGGTGGCGAGGGGAACCACAATAGCAGCTCTCCACGGAAAAGAGGCTACTGCAAGCGTTGTTGCAAAGCTGCATCGCGTTGTATATGCGACATGATTACGAGCCCTGTCAATAACAAGACAGGGATAATTATACTGCAGCACCCGCTGGAAAACAATCATCACTTGGGAACAGCTCGCATAGCTGTGGTTGGTTTGCGCAATGTGGAGCTCATCTCTGTCCCCGAAGATGAGGAGCAATTTTCGACCAGGTTGCGACCAAAAGTTCCAGGGTCGAAACGGCAGATTGCGGGAAGGGGAGGTAAGAAAGCCCAGTTTTTGTCGCAAGGCGATCCCCATAGAAGGATTCCCAGGAAACCTCCGGGTGAACCTAAACGCCAGACGGAAGCGACCATCCAGGTCAAGCATGAGGTCGCCAGGCAAAGCGAAAGGGCAACGGATGACAACCAAGTCGTCAAAATGGCAACTTTAGGTACGAAATTCTTAGAGCAAGACGTGAGCTCCATTGCCGTACCTTCGTGGATCAACTTGCAGCCAGATGCTGGACTTCTGTTTCCTAGTGAACACGCGATTGATCTTTCACCAATTCCTCCAGAATGTAATTCAGTGGGTTCACACGATCCAGAGAGTGACACTATTTTGAGTGCTCCTCGTCGGAGATCGCCAAGTCAGTTGATTGTCCTAGATGGTACATGGTCGAAGGCCAAGCGAATCTTTTACGAAAATCCATGGCTGTACTCCTTGCCCCACTACCGTCTTCCTCCATGTGACGGAGGTAGTAGGTACGGTTTGATACGGAAGGAGCCAAAGCCTGGCTGTATGTCCACGGTAGAAAGCATTGTTTTGGCTCTACAAACGTTGGAGCCCGAGATAGAAGGACTCGACTCTCTCTTAAATGTTTTCGACTTCATGATTGAGGATCAGAAAAGATGTATGGGAGATAAGTATGCTGCTCTGGAGGAGAAATGTAGAAATGGTATAACCCAAAGATCAAAGGCTTCGAAATAAATAATGTTTCGATCTTGTGTCTAATTTTTTGATAAAGATCATTGTAACATAACGAATGATGGGGATGTAATGTTCTCCCGCTGATGACACACCGATTCATGGATTTGCATTTTCCAAACAAGGGTGTCTACAGTGGCATAGCGTAGTTTGGCATCGTCGTGGAACAGATCAGGTAAAACCGTGGTTGGAAACTTCTGCAATAGAGAAAGTTTTGCTCTGACACTGAAGGTTTGGTCAAGGAAGTGAATAGTACCTCCATGGCGAGTATTTAACTGTACGGAATGGAAAGTAGGCATAGCACAGCAGATCTTCGAGTTGGGAAAGGTTGACCATGGGAAGAAACTTCAGGACTCCATGGCTACGAAGATTCAAAAGCTATAAACGATTGTGTAAAAAATTGGTACTAAGTAGGTCGACCTCAAAAAGTAGTACCTGATCAGTACCGGAGTTAATTTTGCTGTGTCATAGGTACATCGCTGAGAGCTAAATGTGAATAACATGAATTAAATTTGTTCTACTTGATCCTATTGTCCCTTGGGATTCCCACACGGATGTAAGGACTAGAAGACTCAAAATAACGAAAATAACTTTACATAAAGTTTCGAATTTGTGCAGAGAGTGTGCACTGTAAGCGCAAATGGTCTAAAGACAGACTTCGGTTTGGCAATGCCTAGAAAGGTAAGATTTACTTCAGAATGCTACGTTTGTTCGTCTATTAATGAACGCAGTAAACGTAACGATTTAGACGAACTTAGTCTTTTCTCAAACAATTAATCCTCAAATCATCCGCGTTTGCAATTGCATTTTCAGAATTTTCGAAGATTGACCAGGAACGTGAGAGAGATAGAACCGAACTGCTTGCAAAGTAGGTGAGGTGATGAAGCAAGCGATACTAGTTCACCTCTTCGATACGTACCATGATCTGCATATTGCTCCTCGAAGAAGATGTTAAGGTTCTATGTAGTGTTCGACTAGTGGTCAATGGTAAAGGAAGTTTGGAGGATGTGTTGTAATCAGGTCTTGAGAAACTAGGGACTTGACATCTGAGAGGATTGTACGTCGCGTTCCGCATCCCGTTTAGATGCGATCAAGGATAGCAATAGATCATCGGATGTCAGGTCAGATTAAATGTTGCAAGATTAGACCCAAAAAAGTTTCACGTATTTAAGTAAACACCGCCAATAATATCCCTAGGTATGAAGAAGACAACTGTTCAATATAACTTCTTCTGGCCATGCTCTGGAAAATAGGTACAATCATGCAGGTTGCAAGTCCTGTCATACTTATTCCAATTTCGAGATAGACCTACATCAGGATGTTCAAAGCAAAGTGAGTTGACCACACTCAGAACTCCTTTCAGCCTATATAGTGGACCCAATTACACTGGTATATAGCTATTGGTCTTGCCTGTTCCAGTCGTTCACTTCATGCTGTGGCGAGTGAAAGAGTACCACACCTAGCTAGCTATTTTACAAGGAGACATTTGTTTGACGTTCCGGCGATTGTCATTGCGACCCTGTGATGATAGATACATTTTCACGCAGGCGAGTGGCTCGTTATGCCAGTTGATGGTTTGCCAAACAGGCTTTTCGATCCATGTAGTAGAGATTCTCATGGACAGCCCGTGGTTGATATGCTTTCACAGCGAAGTGCAAAGGCGCGTACGGCACGGGCAGAGCAATGATGTGTACGGTTGTCTTTCTACAGCAGGTGAGTTAGGCTGAGAATCTAGTCTATACTGTCTGTGTCGTCAGTTCCCGATAGCGAATTCCTTTGAGGGAGGAATTTTGATGAGTTACTGTCGACTAATTAAACTCTTTTGCACATTCCAAACGAGGAAGAATGAATCCTTAACTAAACTCCTACGGAGAAACCATCAGCCTTTTACCAACCAAACTTCTCTCCTTCGAGTTCGAAATGCATGAGCAAACGAACACCTTCCAACGTATTGCCCTTCTTATCGTCAAGAGGGACACATCTTAATCCTTGCTTTATCTCTGAAAGTGGGATGCAAGTTTGTCCGCCGAAATCGTCCTTGTCGGTCATATCGTATTCATGAACTTCCACCCGCAACAAAGCAAGCTCCGGTACAGAGATAGGGAAATCGAATTCCGCTTCCCACCTTGGTATCCATTCATCCTCGATTGGCTCGGTCTTGCACTTCTTCACATCCGCTGGCAGTCCCGCTATGGCTATCTGTATGAGTACCACGATATATGTTCCAGAACACATCAAAACACATCAGCTTCACGCTTTGAACCAAAAAGAACGCCAGGACTCATAAAGCTTTGCACCCTTAATGGAAAATTACAATGTACGTGTGAATACTAGTCAATACCAACTCTGGCCTCCAAATTATAACAGGATCACTCAGCAAAAAGAAGCTCACTCTAATGCACGAGAGAACTCAACAACAGTTGTCAGCATTACTTACCTTCACATAGAAATCAGGAGGAGAGAAGCGGTCAAAGTGATGTTTTCCAAATTTTTCTAACCACCCAAGACCCAAGATGGCCTTCACCTGTGACATGAAAGCACTGTTTAGCTGACCGGAAGAAGTTGTGGTAAATGATTCAGCAACCTCAAAGATAGATTACTTGCGTGCACAAAGACACCTCCCTGCGCTTCAGACGACGACGCAACGCACGGTTGACAATTTCCCTCGAATGGTTCTAGGTCACATTTGAACATCACAAGTAGAAGGTAAACAGCGCATTCGTCTACTTCCACAAACAGCAAAGGCTTACCTTCAGAGTCACTACGGGTGCTTTCGCAACTCGAGGATCGAACTCTTGGCCACCATTCTCACTTGGAAACAAAAACTTGGGCTTCCTAACATATCCACAGCCTCCATTGGCTTTGAAAAACCCATGGACCACCCAAAGGGGTCTTCCATAACCCTGATTTCCAAGACGAGAGAAAAGGTCTTCATTAGAACAGACTGATCTCATAATCGTAAAAGCCTGAATACGGATTTCAAGCCCCTGTAAGATTTATCAAAGAAAAAAGCTCAGTAGAAGAGAACGAGATAATCTCCCTGTAATTAACTGTATCTAAGAAAAGCTATTATAACAGAGCTGGAGGTTATGAAGATGTGCAAGATCCGATGGATAGTCAAATGTAAAACAGTTCTTTTTCTGCACGCAATTTCAGGACGAGAGGTAGCAGACCTGCATGTTGAATGCAACCATCTGAGCGCCATGAGACCAAGCCACATGAGGATTGTAATTTGAAGAATTGAATCTCAGACCATAAGGGTAGATTCTCAAGAGATTCTTCTCCGTGAATCTGCACAGCAAAGATAATGTTAGCCTTTCAAGGTCACTATTTAAAAAGTGAGTACTGATATATAATTCTAAATCAAACATGAAGGTGCACATGTTTTAAAGAGGACAATACCACAACAAGGCAGAACCTCAACCAAAAAGAGGATTTAGATCATATCAGTATAAATCTAAAAAGGCCCCTTGACGCTTACATCTCTGCACATGTTGCTTGGACAAACAATTCAATATCTACAAACACTCAGTCTGCAGATGAACTTACTTGATCAATGCAGATGGTTTCTTCTCTGCCACCTTCTCAAGCTGAGGCTCGCTTAAACTCACCCGCTTCACGTACTCGTCAACGACAAGAGTTTCGACCACTGTCGCCCCTTTGGGTTTCCCAGCACGAATAGATATGATGCTTTTGTACTCGGGATTTTTCACGTGATCAGGTGCTTCATCTCCGTCGTCGTCGTCGTCGTCGTCGTTATCTGTATCTTCGTCATCCGACACCGGTTTGTCTGATGGATCCAATGATGCACGTTTTTCGGATGCTACGAAGCCTGGAACTTCAGGTCCCCACTCAGACGACTTTCTCGGTTCACCGAAAAATGATCGGGGAGTTTGGCCTGGCTTGGACGATGCAACTTCTGCTTTTTGGCTTGCTAACCTTTCTGCCAGTTTTTCATGCTTCTCACCCTTGATATACTCCTTGGGAGGCTTTGTGGAGATAAGTATCCTATGTTTGATGTCTTCTGGTGATGGAAACTGTGTAAATTTAGCACACTTGGTATCCTCCTCAGGCCGCCATAGTAACTTACCCAACACATCAGTGGTAATCTGCCAACCGAACGAGACACATCATAGAACCATTAAGATACATATCAGAACGTTGAATCCGTTTATATGATGCTGCTTGGCTTACAGATATGAGATAAGTTAACCGTTGAATGTATAGGTGCGTGATAAAAAGCAGTGGAAAAGCATCATAGAAATATACAGAAACACTAAGTCAAGCTACTACTTGATTAATCAAGCTCTGACAGCTCAAGCCTCTACTTAATTACACGGCTTAAACGGGCAGGTCTGAGTCTGATGATCCTCAAGTGGGATGAAATAAATTCGTACTACAAACTTGCAAATAGAGAAAATAAGATCAGTACTGACCTGTGCGGCTTTCGCTTGAAGCTCCGGGGTCAGATGATCTTCGTATGTGATGACAACTGCATATGGAGAAGCTACAAAAGCATTGTCTCTAATAGCCTCCAAACACAATGCGAAATCAACCGGCGCTGTCATTGTTCTGCAAAGATGCCAGATAATATGAAATGAATCCCAAAAAGTCCTTGAGTCTTCTAGATAATCACTTTCATTTACAGTAATGATACACAAGGATATTTTGATTAAGGAAGTCAATCTGAAGACAGCTGAAGAGAAGAAAGCTACTCTACATAATTCATTGTTAAGTTTTTGTTGCCATCAATGATCACTTACCTGCCATGGTAGACTTTGATTTGAGTATCATTCTTGCTTGGCCATAAGTCCAACTCCACGACACGGACGCCTCTCCTCAGTGCATCAACTATTGGTTTTTCGCTACAATCACTGCTTAGTTGATTTCCAGTAAGATACGAATTATGCCCCGTGTATATATAGTAAGCTGAAGCTGGCAATGTCATATCGTGATGCACCTGCAAGCAGAATAGTTCAAGATGTCATATTCTAGTAGCTAAATAATTAGATACAACTCGATTGTAGGCAGCTTCAAGCGCAATGGACCCTAACACGTAAAAGTTTTCGTCCTTGCAATCCTTACCTCGAAAACCAGTCATCGTTAATTCAAACATCCAGTCTCAGCGTTTTATTTCAAAGAAGGAAATGGAAGAACGACAAGTCGTACATGGCCTGCATTGTCTTCTTGCCAGCACCTCTAGAGTTATTCCCGAGTTCATAGCATCGAAACGCAAGTAATGTCATGATGACTATCCTATGTTGAGAAGTGCAGGATTAAGCGACTACGATCGACCGATGGATGTATGCGGAGCATTTCAATTTATAATGGGTGGATGGTAAAAAGTGGATCCAATGAACAACTGCCGGAGTCTCCCGAAACACCAGGTTTACGTACCAAATTGGGCATGTTTACAAAGCGATTTACGATAAGCTTACCAACTTCTAATTGCCACCTTCGCAATCAAGTTGTCAAGAGCATCAACGAATACCCTTCCGAGCGTCTTACAGCTTTGACTTGAATGCTTGAAAACTTTAGGAAGGGATCTACACATTGCCTAGATTCAACTGCAAGGCCTCACGGAAGAAGTTCCAGGATAGTTGTGAGTGGATTATTAATGTGTTGCACACCATGAACAAGAACAATTTGCACAATTCCCTGATTCCACTAGTCTTCGAGAAGCGCGTGTGTGGATCGAGAAATGCTCGCGTCCTCAAATCAGAACGAGAGTAGACTTCAGTTCTCGATCCTGTAACATCTACTGCGGGAAGACACTGTGTGTCAACATCTGAAGGAGTCCGAAGACGATAAGAACCCAACATGCTCAATTAAGAGCAGAAAGTCGTGGGAACCAGGAAGACTCACCTTGGTATTCATAGCCCCATTGATGCTCGGATCGAGTAAGTATTGGAAGAACGAATCCAGAGTCAGACCATGTTTGGGTTTCGAAAACAAATGCGATTCCTTCGCTAGCTGATGTGCCACAATCTGCTCGGCATCCGCGAGCGTAGCATTCTCTTCTTTCTGCTCCTCGTTGAGGAACAATTTAAGCTTCTCGGGAGTGATAACTCCATTTTCTGCGTACTTCTCGAACACTTGTTCCACATCCGGGGGCGTCATGAGCTGGTTCGATCGGAATCTTCTACTGAAACAACCACAAACTCCGAACTCCTGTTTGACAGGTTTATCAACTTTGCCGTTCATACTTCGGATTGCTGCCTCGCGTCCTTATGTACTCTTCCCTTATGGCCCGTACTACCTCGTTCTGGCGAGTCTCCGCTCACCAGTCACTGCCAGACACCTCCTCCTCCTCGTCCTGCACAATCTCTTCAAATCTACATCCCCGAGATAAACATACGGCTCGCTAATCGTACTGCGGCCACGCGGCGTCCGCACTGTTCCACTACCCGGGGCATCAATCAGAAAGACATTCAATCAATCAATCAATCAGTCAGTCAGTCACTCGCACGAACGAACGAACTCCAATGGCGCCTTGCGCATTCCACTTGCGCCAAGCTTTTCGTCTGCCGTCGGCCGCTCAGCTCTCAGCGTGCCATGCAGGTGCGCTCATTTCTCGCCGACGCGCTTCCTCAGCGATCACGGTCTGCTATCGGATTGCGGTACCGCAACAGAGGCCGCAGCGCAGATCTCATCATCATCATCATCATATAGCGCCAGTCCAGCAGTCGTCGACTCACCCAGCGATTGTGCCGAGATCCAGAGCTCCCTATTCACGGGCTTCGCATACTTGGCTGGGCCCCAGCAATCCCATCCATGGTCTGCTCGGCCCCCTCGTCGCATCAATCGTGCAATAATGTTCTCGACTACGGCCCCTCCGCTCTGCGTGCCGCCACAGCATCGAGCCACCGCCAGATGTCAAGCCGACCTTCCGCGTTCCGCCACGTGGCGGGCTGCCATTTGGCGCCATTACGCAGGCCCGCCTACTTGTCCACCGTCGTAAGTGGCAGATCCTCGTCGCCGCTTTCCCCTGAAACGAAAGTCAAGAGCGTGGGCGGCCCAGCCCAAGCCAAAGCCAAAGCCAAAGCCGGCTTCTGTGGCTTGCCGTCGATGCAGCACGGAAGCATCCCCGGACGCGCTTCAGCAACTGCCCGACTTGCATGTTCGATATTCTGTGGATGACGCTAATGAACTGAATCCAATCTATATATCGTTTGTGAATTTGGTGCGTCGGGTTCAGAATGAGGTGATTGGAACAGAAATTAACAGAAATTCGCATTACCGAGAATGATATTTCAATGACCAGTGCTAGTTTGGTGGCACTTACGGTACTTTGAGAGAGTGGATTTTAAGAAGGTAATCGATTTGGCCATGAGGAATTAGGGTGTTTTTGATACGTCAGACAAATTCTATGCATTTGCTCGAAAGTGTTATATACAAAACTATTTCACCGCAGCGTTCAAAAATACAAAACTGCTTCACCTTTGTGCTCAGCAATGTCAGAATTACAGTAGGAGGAGGAAGGAAGGGGAGGCAAGGCAAGGCAAAGCAGCGCGGCCGCCAGAAATCTCTCGCCTCTGACTCAGGATAGGCTTAATCCGAGCTCGTGCGCATGAATGGCGATAGGCCAGTGACGCCACGTCCTCGCACGGAGCTTTCCTTCGCCAGGAAGCAGGGAGGGGCCCTCCGGCTGGGCACCCGTCGGCTGTCGTCTCCTGCCCTCGCCTGCCGTTGGCTGTCGTCTCCTGACGTCGACCTTCCGTGACCCGAGGAGTTCGTACAGCCCGCATGCACGACGATGTCAGGAACGGCCCGAGCCGAAGCCTCGCAGCACCTTCTCTCCCGTACGTCTCGTCGCGTTGCCTCTGGTGTCCCGAAGTCAAGTCCAGCTCCGCGACCCGAACCTCGAACTCGACGTCGGGTCAGCGTCTGAATCTGCAGATCATCCGATCTCGATCCGACGGTCGGTACCGCCCGGGACGGTCGCAGGGCGGTTTGGCATCCGAGCCTGTAAACTCGGCCACGAGTCTTCTCCTGTATCGCTGTACCGTCCAGAGTTTACCGGACGGTTGTCTTAACCGGGTCCGGTCAACTATAACGTGCTGGTCGCAGTTGGGCCGTTGAGATGCAACCGGGTTGGTCTGAGACAAGGGGCCGTCCGGTAAAGAGGTCAGTTTCTCCTGGAAACCCGGAAGAAGTTCAGGAGCAAGATTCAGATTCTATACTTTGTCAGGTTTTCGGTTACCGAGAACCATGACTGTTGGGACCGGGAGCCGGGACAGGGTCAGGGACGCGCAGGGCGGGGCAGGGTCGAAGGTAGGGACCCTTTTGAGGGGCCCTAGCGTGGCCGATATTCCTATTGCTCGCAGCCCGCGACCTCGGTCGTTTCAACGAACAGTGCACGGCTTCCTAGGCCCCTTCGACTGGCAGCTGCCCGGTGTTCTGGCTGGACGCTAGCCGGTCCGCTAGCAGTGAGAGCTCTCGAGAGCCTCCGCCCGACGTCCCGACCGAACCTGACCGTGACCAGTCCTCCGAAGAGACCTGAACAAGTACATCCATGACCACACTTTGTCCTGGTACGAAGCGTCGTGCCGAGGTCTTCGCAGAATAATTTCTTCTGTGATGTATAGCTTTTGGATATGCTAGATACTTGCTTTATCTTCAGTGTGTGGTGTTGTTATTCTAGGCGATCGCATCGGGAATCTGAAGATGCAGCTGTCCGAATCCTGTGCTCGCTAATCTAATGGTAAATCTGGTGTGACTGTGTCACAATATCGCCAGTGTTTAGAAACTTTGTGTGTTGTTAAGCACTAAGGTAAAGTAAAGATATTTGTCGTGAATTCGACTCCGCATGTAACGTGGGGTTGCTCATACAGCCTTGGTGGCTCGGAAGGTTCAGAGCCAGAAAGTTTAGGAGAAATAGATTACACCACAGTTGTTTTGGTCCAGTAAGAAACTGAACATCATGCCGCTCCGTTTGGGCATGATTCTTGAGTGCTCAACCGTTTAGCCAAAATGAGATAGAATGAACAACATATACTTCTAGAGAAATCAGCGGCATTAAGGAAGTTGTATGATTTGGAGCTAATTTTATCAATAAACAAGAGAATATCAAACTGTTTTACAACCCCGATTGCGCCTGTACAAGCTGAAGATGGGAATAGAGATCGAAGGCCGACTAGACAGGTTTGAGAGAGTTCAGACCTGAACTGATTCTCCCTGCTAAAGTACAACCCGAAGGGCAGCTGAATTCTCTCGTATGTGCGCAGCGAGATCTTGCAGGTAATTCTTGCCGTGATTTTCACACCTTTGCACAGCGAGGGCAAATCGTAAACACGAGGCATCATTCCAAGCTTGGAGTGACACCTCCAAGCCTGGAGTGACACCTCGGAATCTGTGCGGTGTGTATCATAGGCCGATATACACTAAAGGCTAAGGGCCAGCATTGTAGGCATGAAATCATGAATTTCACCTGAAAAAATGTAAGACTGGAACAAAGAAAAGATATGTATAATAATTATGGTGAACAAAATATCAAAATGATTCTTAAATCAAGATGGAAAAGGAGTGTGAATGAAAAGTGGACATGGTTTTGATCAGTACAGTACACAGAAAATGAGTTTAGGAATTTGTCGAATAGACTCCATCTTGTATGGATGAAAGCAAGTGTCTGGTAGAGTGGGTAAAATGATCCATTGGTATAATGTTGTTGCCATCTTTATGCAATGTCTACCTATGAGAGAAGTATTGGAAATGTCTTTGCAGTCAATTGTTATGTTTTTTAGAATGTGGTTAGGTTGGTAGAAATGGTTTGTTGGAGGGGAGCGGCTAGTTATCCTCAGTTTATGTTAATTATCTTTCACGTTAAAAAATGTTAATTGAAATGTGTACATGGGTTTTCAGTGGCTTGATCCTTGGTGCAAGAATGGTGAATGACTGCGGCCCTTTTCGCAGTCCTAAGAATTTTGTAGCCGATTCAACAGAATTGACCAAATGCTTTGTTATACCTTGTTATCTCTTGAGGAGACTTCCATTTCTATCGGCGGGCGCTAGAAAGTATACATGACCAATCGAAAAGCTCCATGAAGAATTTATGAAGTGTGAGGGATAACTAGCCGTACACTACGTGATTATCAATATTTGCGTCGGGGAATTCAATGATAAATTGGGACAAGTATTTTGGCTCTCAATCAATCGTCTTTACATCTATTCATTATTATCACCTTTAGTGACATTTCTAACTGCCGCCCGGTAGCCCGCACGATAATAGAGGACAGGCATGGCCGAGGAGATATTTTCATTATGGAGGTTTAAACTTTCAGGAGAAAATGGGTGCGAAGCAAGCGGCGAAAGGTATCGAAACAGAGTACTACAATGGGTATCCATACCCATGGGTACTCAATACCCACCTATTCCCATGGGTGGATAATAGATATGGGCTAGGATGTGTATGAATTAGACGGAACTCTCGGATGAAGTGTAACCAAATGGTGGTGGACTCATGCGTACGGAAAAGCTGCCATAGGTATGGGTAAAATTTTGAAGCCCAATGCAGGACTATGATGGGAAGACGCTATCAAGTCAAGAAGAATTCGCAAACAGGGTCTGTAGCCCCAATTCGAGGGGAGCAGCTCTGTCTTGTGACTTGTGCGAGGAAGTATATCGTATACCAGAAGTTAGGTTACGCGTCCTTCGGCTAAGCCAAGGATGTCCATATGATCTTCCAAAAGCAAGAGGATAAGTTCATATTTATGTCGAGCTGGCCTTTTTATAAGATTAAAGTATTTTGACGGTACGCACGTGCTAATCATTTGTAATGTCTGTCGAGAATTCATTGGTTTCTTTCTGTGACAAACTTTCTTCCAATCCACGACATGTCATCATCATTCTCGCTTGTGTCAGCATATCTCCCACACTGACCATGTTGTGAATGACCGAAACTAGATTGTGTTTAGTAGATCTCTTTCCTCAGTTCATAGCAGAAAATTCAAGCTATCGACCAAAAGCTTTGACTGTTGTCAATCTTCACGTACGATTTCCACATCCCTCAAAGGCTGCTACAACTTCTGCCAGCACGAACAGAAACATCTGGAGATTTCCCATCTAAGTCATCTCGTTACAACATAATTGTATAGTTCACAGGTATTTCCATCCTCGAAGTAACTTTATTTGTGAGAAGTACAACCACAAATCTAACGGTTCAGGATTATGGAATGTATAAACGATTTATACTTTGTACGGTCAACCGAAGTCTTTCATAAAAAACGTTGACTCTTGATTGGTGTAAGATAACATTCATGTAAGAGTATTCCCCGTCTCTTGTTATTTTGAAAGGGCAATTTTCCTGTCATACTCTAGAAATCAAACCAATTATCTCTTTCTTGAATATTTCTCATATTTCATGAAAAGATCACACATTTCCTGAAAGTCTTTAGCTCAATTCTATGCCAAAGACTTTCAGCAAATATCTTTAGCATAGACTTTAGCTATATTGCCTAAGCTTAGGGAGAGAATAGAGTAAAGAAGGTTGGGATTAATTCTTTGCCAGACAAGAATGAATGAACAGAATTTTTTCTCTCTCTCATAACTTGTAATGTATATTCAAATTTAGCTAACTGGAAGATGTTGAAAATAATTTTCAAAAATTCAAAAATTTCAAATTTAAATGAGTGATTGATTATTTTCAGAAGTGAGTTTATATAACTCCAAAAATAAAAAATGACATAATCTACAAAACTACAGTCTTCAAAAACAATTTCATAACTTAATTTCATTGTATACTATTAGATTGGTTAAAACTCCCCACATTATTGCCCAT